ACATAACACATAAGCATAATATGTAAATGCAAAACTCTAATGAAAGTGAATAAACACGTAAACACGCAAGCATGCAAACACACAAGCAAATAAAAGACTAACTATTACATTCGTGACCCTAATTACAATTTAAGGGGGAATTTTAAAAATAATATCCTAACTATTACATTTATCTAACTAAATACATGTTTAGCAAAAATTTAAACATATCTATTACCTAAACTAGTTAAATACATGTCTTGAGCACTTTTCTTTTACAATTTGGCATTTTAATGCCTCTCAAATAATCATCAAAAATTAAATAAAATAAATGAAACTTAAAATGAGTAAAATGAATAATTAAAAGAAAAAGCACTCTAAACATGCAATTACATATGAAAACAAATTGGAGCACATAAAAGAATTTAAAATGATAAAAGAGGTTACCTGCCTTGAAGTTGTGGTTGAATGGGGTTAAATTTGCTCTACTTATACTCCAAAATCAACAAAATAATCAAAGCACCAATTTAATTATAAAGAAATGAAAATAATCATGGAATCTACCAATCAAATCATAATTATTGCAAAGATTAGGGGTCAAAATTAAAGAAAAATAAAGTACATGGATCAAATTGAAATTATATTAGGGACCTAATTGAAAGAAATCAAAAGTTTTTGAGGCCATTTTTTCTTCTTTTTAGGCTAAAAGCCACTTGGCCCAACGAAAGCCCCAAGTGAAATGAGACGGGCTAGCCCATAAAGTTTATCAAACAGTCCCAATCACAATGCATGGACTCCAACCCCCAAGTCCAAGCCATAACCCAATCAAATAAACCAAACTTTTCTATCAAAAATCCAAACAAACAAACCACAACCCAAAAACTAAAATTTCTTACAAAACCCATCAAGATAAAATCAATTAAAAGACATTTAACCCTAATTATTTCCTAAAATCCAGAATTAATCTATCCAAAGGACCACTTAAAATATAAAAAAGATGATTAAAACTTGAAAGAGATCAAAATGGTTAATTTGTAGAAATTTTGGGGCCATAATAGAATTATGCAAAAGTTGGGAGCCAAAAATGATAATTTCAGAAGTTATCATGCATCTTCTCCGTAGCTTGCTGCGTTCCTACTGCAACTTTTTGGGTTTCTCAAATGCAATCTTCTTTTCATCCAAACACAACTAATGTCTCAACTAATCAAGATCTAGATCAAAACAGTAAGATTACAAAGCCCCCTTTATCCCTTTTCAACCGAAAAACTTTGACATCTAAACACAAAGATTTAGAATAAGATCATGCCATGTGTTTAACTACTGGGTTGCAAGAAAGTAAGAAACATCCCTGTTCATGGTTCTAAAAATGAACATTCTAATCTTGGACTCTTCTTGGTTTTAATGAGATTTCATCAGGCTTCTAAATGGCCATTATCGAACCATAAATCGTCAGGAAACAAGCATGGCAAAACCAATGAAACGAGAAAATGGCACTAGCAGCAAAAGTGCAAGAGTTCATGTCCAATCATGGTTCGAAGTCTCGGCCGAGACCGAGACGACTCGGCCGAGTCGTCACCATCTCGGTCCCTATCGATACGATACCGAAATACTTGACTCACCGAGAAATCGGCCGAGTCGTCACCGCGACGGATTGACTCGGCCGAGTCGCACCGAGTTACTCCGAGTTATCCCGAGTCAAGACGAGAAATCAGCCGAGTCACACCACGACGGATTGACTTGGCCATTTCTTTTGCTATTTTTTAATTATTTTTATTTAGCCTACTTTTTTATATTATTAACAATTTTTAAAATATTAAATACTTTAAAATTTGCGTCTCACTGAGACCGCGACCGATATACCGAGACTGATATGGAACGTTCCGGGCCGCGCCTGCGACCACGCCCGTGACTTTAAACCATGTGTCCAATGGGTTTAAATCTTTGTGAAAAAAGTGTTAAATCAGCAAGGAGAGTAGTCATGGTTACCTGAGAGTGCTTGCATGGTGGAATGGACGTGAGATACTCCCAAAAATGCGTGCTAATTTGTGAAATGAAACCCAGCAAAATTTTGTCACAGAAACCGCAGCGTTGATGAATCAGCTACTTTGAGCTTCAATTTGACCGGCTTGGAGGCATTTTTTCAAAGTGATTTCCAAATGAAAGTTATTCTACTATACCATAGGAAAGTGCAGAAAAGCAAGAGTTCTCTAAAAAACCTAAAATCTACGCCGAAATTCGAGACAGAACTAAGCTGGTGAACCAGCCTGGTCACAAAATTTTTGCAGAATTTTCTCTTGCTCTCCCTCTCTTCATTTTCTCTCTTTTTGCTGTTTTTCTTTCTATTTCTTTCTTGCTCAGCCGCCTCTCCTTTTTTTCTCCTCTTTTAATGGCTACATCTTCATCCATTTATATGGCACAAATCCCCCCCCCAAAACCCTGGGAGCAACGATGGGGATATGTTAGCTTTTAGGGGTTGATTTTGAACTATTAGATGGTGGGTTTTGGATAAGAATTGATAGTTGATCTGGCACTTGTAATGGAAGACTTGAAAAGGATGAAAATGGAGCGGAATTCAAGAGGAAATCAAACCCAAAATGGCAACCGGAATTTCTTGTACTATTTCTTACTTGTGGGTTGGAACGATGGTGATGAAGAATGGCGCGCGTGCCGTGCACGCGAGCGTGGAAGAGATTTTTTTTTTTTTTACAAAACTGATTTCTGATTTTTTTTCTTTTTTTTTGTTTTCTCTTTTTTTTCCGATTTTCTAAAAATGATTTTTCTCAAAAAAAAGAAATGAAAAAATAAATTAAAATAAAATAAAATTTAACTAAAAATGAATAAATAAAATGGTAAAATTTTGGTGTCTACACAAGTCATAATATATATAACTTATGTTTTGGATATAAATTTATAATAATAATATATTTAGTATTGATAAGCCAAGTCTAAAATAGGTCGAAGTCCCGGTATATTTATGAGTTCAATATGAACCTCATAATGTAAATTCGAAAACTTGAATCTTTTACTTTTTTTTTGAGTCGCTGTGAATTTATTAAAACCCAACTCATAAAACCTAACGTCACTCTCAACAATGCTTCTAAAGATAATTTTGCAAATTAGAGGGTCTCCAACTTTAATTTAAGTAAAGAATAGGGGAGGCAAATGCAACATAATCCGGCATTTTTAAAGCAGCTCCCAAGTCCCAACAAGCTCGAAGTATTGGCTGGCAAACGTAACTGGCCGTCCTACCCCCAAAGCTCCTCCTCCTCGCTATTCATCCGCTTGTACAAAAACCCTAATTTTCCCTCCAAATCCTAATTCCTTTTGAGCCAATCAGATCGCAACCTTTCTTTTCTGTTGGAATAATCAGCCATTGTTATTTCCTCCGATTTTGAATCCTCCCCAGCCATGGTAAGTTTTCATTTCCCTCATCTCATTTCTTTCTTCTCTCTTTCCCTTTTCTCATTTCATTCCTCATCTTTGCTTAATTGATATTTAATTAATCTTTAGAGAAAACTTGGAGGAAATTCAGGTTTGTTAGACAAAATTATGGGATGAATCCTTTGGTTTTAGGTTAAAATGGTATTATGTTTCTATCTTTTTTTTTTTTTTGGAAGTGCTTACCATGGGAAAGTTTGGTTTTTCGTTTTTTATTCTTTTTTGGTTTTGATTTGCTAGCTATTTGTTATGAATGTCAAGAAAATTTATCACTTGTTATATGTATTTTATGCTTCAATTTAAAATGCTGAAGATAGTTTTTTGGGGAAAAATGTCGAAAAAATGTTTTCTATCTGCCTAATGGCGCCTAGATTGAAGTCAAAGAGAATGTCTTTTTGCACTATAAATATGGTTTTATCCTCGGATTAAGGGGAGATTAATGTTTTTGGTACAAAGGTTGTCGATTTACATTTCAGGATCATTAGAATGATTGTTTTTAATGCTTCCTAAACCTCGTAGGCATCGAGATTGGGGTCGATACTTATGCTGTATCATAGTAGTTAGTAATGAGAATACTGTTCTGATAGACAAATGAGTCTACTTACATCTCAATGATAAAGATAATTATATTTAGAACTTCCAAAACCTCCTTATGAGGCCACAAACTTGTGCACCAATTAAGAACTTTTAAGTGCATGTCATATTCTTAAAGTAGAAGCTAGTGTTGTTGCTACTTTTGGGTTGCTTCCTTGGGACAATTTGAATAGAGGGATTTATCAAGCACAGATAGATGAGAAGATCCCTTATTAGTGCTTCTTAGAACTTGTCATTTTGTTAAAAACCTGGTGCATTTTGTTTTTGCGGATGTTGGAAATGCAATAGCTTTCCATATGTTTTCTGGTTTAATGTGCTGCTGCAGCTGTACTTGTACCTATTGATGTGTAAGGAATGTAGTAGATTGTGTTTTGATGCTTTTGTAAGTACTTGGGAATTTCTCGAATATTTTAGTCTCTTTCTGCAATAGCTTCTGCCTTCGAAAAATAAAAGTGATTGCTAGTAGAAGATAGACTTAATTTTTATGGTTCATTTCCTTCATCTTCTAGAGTTAGGTTAGTTATGGCAATCAAATCACCAAAAGTGGCAGTTCTTTGTCATCCCATCTGCATATGTGTCCATTGAAGTCAGACCAAGATAGCTACGAATTTATGGTTACCTATGGCTAATTTGCCATATCTTTCATCATGGATACCATATGTTTACGGAGAAAGGTTAAATTACAGTCCGCTACTTCATTGAGAGGTACGGATGATTAGTTGGCAAGGAGCACCAATGGGCTACCAGCTTGTCTAGTTCAGTGTGCAACAGAAAAGGTTTCCTCCTTAGTTCTGATTTGTCCAACACCCTTCCTCTTACCTTCTCCATTACTCCAATACTGTCACAATTTCTGCCACAATTGTGTCCAATGGCTAATTAATTCTATGATTTTATGGACTACTTGTGAAATCAAAATTAACAAGGGAACTCCACAAATCTCACGTATCCAGTAAACTTTTCAATCAAACAAATACCTTCATCCCAATATCACTCTTTTTTCCAAAGCATGTGCATGTAATATACAGCCAGTTGATCATGAATCATGCGGTTAACATCAAGATCAGCATGGAAAATTGGAAGGTATTAAAAGGGAGGAGAGGTTGCGAGTACTGAATAGAAGATAAAGTAGAGATGGCCATTTGGGGTTTGCAGATTGATGATATGGGATTTGGATTTGGACTTGGAAGAGGGTACGAAAGTGGGAACGAGTGGGAGGAGAAAAGGTGGCAGGCGACAAGCAGGGTGAAAAATAGGTGATTTGGGTGAGGAAGAGGAAGAATGACACAAGTCCTGGAGACATTGCTCGTGAGAGGTAGGGTGGTCTGGTCTATTTTTGATTAACAAAACTACTGGGTTTCTTTTTGAAATTATGAACAACTGAAAAGATCGGTGTCTATGACTCTTAGATCACAGACGTCTGTTACCTAAGTACTACTTTTATATGGGATAGTTTCACAAACCTCCCTTGAGGTTTATGACAATTTCACTCCCCTCAGGTTTTACAAATTACACTGACCTCCCCTGTCACAATAAAATGACTATAATGACTTTCGCTTAATAGATAATACACATTATAATGAAATGAGATTAAAAAAAAAAAAAGAAACCCTAGCTCTCCCTTGCTCTCAAATTCCCAACAACCTTTGCCTACAACTACTACAAATCACACCACAATGGATCCCTTCAAACTCTATTGTATATTACCATTCCTCCTGTCTTCTCTTTGGAATTGCCAAATTACAAGTTCAGCTGATGGATCAGATTTCATGGTTAAAGTAAAATCTGATTTCATGGTCTAACTACAAGGAGATAAAGAGGCTCACAATAATAAAAGAGGAAGAGGAACTGAAGTTGGCGTATTTGCTAATTTGTCTGTGATCAAACTTTTGTAGGGTGTTAATAACTGCATTTGGGTTTCTGTTTATGCTTAGCAATTGTTGGTTGTGGTTTTCCTATGGAGGTAGAGCTTTTTATTTGTATTTAAGATGACGTGAATAGAGTGTTGGTTTTTGGCAAAATGAATTTCTTGAACATCTCTATAGGCATAATGATGCCTTTCCTTCTCTTAATCTTGATTAATCCTGTCAATGACTAAAACTTCCCTGAGGATTTTCTTCAAAGCCATAATATGTGGCTCTTGCAGTTGGAGTTGAGCCACTTGCATGGAACCAATCCATGGCATCCTATGTTGAAGATTATGCAAACATAAGAGCAGTTGATTGTGAGTTTAACCATTCTATGGAACCAAATGGTGAGAATATTTCTGAAGGGTCAAACAAATCCTTAGGGTCTGATGCATGCTTTGGGAGAAGCAATTTTATAACTAAAATGATGAAATTGCTTGGGTTTCGAATTTGGAATTAGAGTCTGTTAGGCTGGTTTGGTAGTATAGTGGGTTCAGCAGAAATGTGGAAGGTGGTTGACAAAACATTTTTTGTTTTGTTTTTTACGAAAAAGGTAGTTTAGGATTTTTGAGAAAAAATCTAGCCTTTTGGGCCTATATTGTTACATGAATAGTAAAAGCAAAGGAGGTAGGTGTAATTAAATAAACTTGAGGGGAGCTCTTTGCAATTGTCAGAAACTTCAGGGGAGGTTTCTAAAATGATCCCTTTTTATATTGTACACGACTCTGATTAAGAAATATGGTGTTATCTCACAATAAATTCCCTGGAATCATTTAGAAGACTACTTCGAAGTATGTCTGGAGTATAAACTTCAATACTGTTGCAATCTTCTTTCTAGGAGATCAACTAGATTTTGGTCACAGGTACAATATTACCTCGATGTTAAACTGATAGTGGTTGAAGTTATCAGGACATGATTGGTATTGATGTGTTGTCATTTCTTGTGAACATGTATGATAGATGAAAATAGGAAAAAACAACAAAAGTGGGTTTAGGATGAAATGAGCACGCTGCATTTCCCCGTTTGGCCAGGCGGTACTGCTTTTTGCCTTGCACAATTTAATGCATCATAGTAGATGGTGCAGTATGTAAATCGGTAGCTTTATCGCAAGTATCATTTATGAATTAAGTTGGTATTTACTATTTTCTTAAGTTGATATTTAATATGCATGGTAGTAACCTCTTTGACAATTTTTATGTTTATGCCTGCACAGGCTGCTAAAATTCTTGCAAATTTGATTGTAATGGGCTCTGGGATTTTGATCAGGGCATTCGCTCAAGCTTATCGTCAAGCACTTGCAAGTGAGTCTCTTTCTAAGCCCAAAGCTTGGTACTTCTGTGCTATTTCTCTAACAATGTTTTCTTGGGCCTATCTTACTTTGCGTTTTTTTTTGTTGGGGAGGGGGGGGGAAGGGAGAAGGAGGAGGGGTGAGCGCGCGCGCGCGCGCGTGTGTGTGTTTTTTTTGGCAAAGTTGGCATTTTATGGCAGTTTAGAAATAATCTTCCTAGGTCAAGAAAAGATCTTCTGGTACAAAAGAATGAGAAAATTCAGTGTAGCATCATTTTTATCAGAATTCTTAATTAATTTAGTAGAACTTACAGATGAAATAAACAAGAAAACTGAATTTACTCTAAATTAACTATTACAATTGCAGTAACATCTGAACTGTGGGACATTGGAATTTTTTTCTTTTTCTTCCAAGAGAAGAAAAGTTTTGCTGGTACAAGAGTATGTAAAGTTCAGGGTAGCATCATTTATCAGCATTCTGAATTAATTTAGTAGAACTTACAGATGAAGTAAACAAGAAAACTGAATCTACTCTAAATTAACTATTGCAATTGCAGTAACATCTGAACTGTGAAACATTGGAATTTTTTCCTTGATATTTATATTATAGAACTTTGTATTATGCTGTTGTAATTCATGTGCATGGGACCCTGAAATTTTCTGTTTCCATTCAATTTGTTTTTAAATCACTTCAAAATATGTACCAAAGTGGTTCCTTTATACATCTAATTAACTGTAGTTTTTATTGGTTACCTCAGAATTGCCCAGCTGCTCTAAGTAACGTGGTCCCATTTCAGAAATCTGTTTATTGAGTATCTCATGCTGCCTTTTTGAATACCCCAAGTTCTTGGGATGGAGAGCAACTAGATACTGAAGTGTGAATATCGAGTCTAGGAGAAAAGGCTTCTTGACACAGACACCATAGAAGAATAACATTTCAAATAAGATTACTTATTTGAAGTGTCATTACTCAATGTGATTGAGCTTGTGTTAGCATAGGTTAATGATTGGTAGAAGTTGGTACTCCATGATTTACCTGAGTGGAGGGTTCACTGTATAGATCAGTGTCCGGCAAAGATTTTAAATTTGGACACTAACTTCCTGTAGGCCTTTGTGATTTGTGAATGAGACTTGATGCGAGAACAGTTTCTTTCAATTTGTCTCAGGGTTTAAGCTTATAAGTGAATCAAGAACCTTTTGAAGATGGTTCATACCGTGAAATCCTTGTTCAAGGCAAAACCATTCTGAGATTTCAGTGTCTTCCCTCAAAATGGACAGACTTCTTGCTTAGTTTGTTGTATATATTCCTTAGGTAGATGGACATAATTTACTGGATTTTTCTGCCCCATTTGTGAGAAACAAAGCATACCCCTCTCTGCTGTGCCACATTGCTGAACAGATAAAAGATACACGTGCAGGAAAGAAAGAAAGGAGAAAACGTACCTTGCTGGCATGCAACTTACTCCAGCAAGTGATGACAAGTAGTACCAATGACATTTTTGAATTAGCAGCGGCATGAGTTCACAGAAGCCTCTTTTGATCCTACTTTCTACCTGCATTTCTTGGCTTCTGTGAGGATTGCTTTCACTCATTCTTGTTTCATCCATCTGTTCTTGGTCATCTTGACCTGCAATAATAGGTTTATGCATGTTGGTTGCTTGTCTTGTGATGCATGCACTAGGATTCTATCAACATTTCTTGTGATTTTGGATTAGTGCAGGTCTATTCTTGTGTTTAATAGGATATATTTATCTCAATAAATAACTGAAATATAGCTCATTGCAGATGCTTCAAAGACTGGTGTTGCTCAAGAGACGTTACAAAATGTGGCTCGTAGGGGTAGCAAAATTATGACAGAGCAAGAAGCTAGACAGATTCTTGGTGTTAGTGAGCAGTCCACGTGGGAGGAGATATTGCAGGTCAAATTTTTAAACAATTTGGTCCAACTTCTGTGCTTATTTATACATCTTTCTAACATTGCTTGGACACGTGCAGAAATATGACAATTTGTTTGAGAGCAACGCCAAGAATGGAAGCTTCTATCTTCAGTCGAAAGTTCACAGGGCTAAGGAATGTCTGGAAAATGTTTATCAAGGCAAAGAGCAGGGATCTTCGGGCCAAAATACATGAAGGTCGCCTGTTCCTTGGCCATTGCATTCTTGTATATCAAAATCAAACAGTAATTGCTAGAATTTTTGAGCCAATGAGTTGCTTCTTTTCGTTTAATCGCTGTTTTCTCATAGCCATGTCTTTGTACTCTGTAGCATGTTTATACTAACTTACTGCAGATCCTAAAAGATTAGTTGTTCTGTAGACTTACTGATGAAGTGGATGATGACATGATTTGCCTCCCTTTTTGGCCTGATCAAGTGAATGATGACACGAGTTACCTTCCTTTTTGGCATTGTCCGCGTAGAGATTTATTACTTTTGTTGGTAATGTACTCAAGTAATAAGTACTTTTTGGGAGATGGACAGGGGCAGGGACAGGTACGGTTGCAAAGGTTTTGTGCAAAATGCACAGCGCGTAATTCTGTGTGCACACGGTGTAACTCATTTTTAATGTGTAATTATAGAATAAAATTTTGTGGGTTCCATATATGGTGTGGAAAACGATGTATAAGATGTTTAAATCTTATATATTTTTTTAGTCAAATCTTGATCATAAACGTTTAGAAACGTGAACCGTTCCTGTCCCTCCTCCTTGGGGAGATAGTATTCTTCACTTCTCATTTCTCCCACTTTCCTTTCCTTGACACGTTGTAAGTTGTTTCATGTTCCCAGGAGACAAAAATAGATGTAATGTTCCAAGTCGGTCTTTTGTATTTTCTTCAAGGCGAATTTATACATGAAATTTGTAATGTTTTGACACGACGATCTTTGATGAAGTTAAAGGGTCATAGAGTGAAAATATGGGATGTGATAAGGGAGTTGCCTGAAGCCAAGCCCGACGGGTAAAATGTGAGATGCATATTTCAATAAATAAATGAATAATTGAGCTCTAGGAACCAGAACCTCGTCTGGCAAAAATTAGAAATGGATGATTTAATTAAAGGGTGGATGTAATTTGCCAAACTGTAGCATATTCCAGGCCCCATTTAGGCCGTTTCTTTCTCCTTTCTTCGTTTTCTCCTCCTTTATTTAAATGAAAGAATCACAAAACTCAAAAAACCATTGAGAAAACTATATTTATTTTCCCTTTAATTAAAGATGTGCGGCACAAAAATTTGCTGGATGCATTCTTAAAGATGTAGTTCTCCCAACAGGATTGTGTAAGCAGCATTTGGAAGCCACTTGATCTTCAAAACTTGCTGAATGCATTCTTTCAAGTGTATATAGTTTGCCCAACAGGACAGAGAAGTCGCATTTGATGGCCACATGATCTTCAAATGCTATATCAACATGAGATATGGTAGCTGCTAATAGAAGTAGTTTGCATAAATCAAACTAGTGCTAAAGGCACACACGTTGTGTGTGTAATTCAAAGATTTTTTTTTTTGGAATTAATTTTACATATTACTTAAATATATTGTGGTATTTTAACCTTTTTTTTCCATCAAATGATGATTATTTTTATAGTTACAATGCTTATAGACAGTTGTTTTATCAAAATTTGTTTAGATAGTTATGGTTGCATTTGGATTGTAAATTATTTGAGATATTTTTACTGTAGCACTTTTTGTGATGTGATGTATGTGAGATAAAAAGGTAATTGGAAAGATAAAAGGGTGCGTTGAAAATTGTAATGATGATGTAAGTAAATAAATTTTGGCTAATAATAATTCTCTGTCCAAACAAATTGTTGCATGCTATATCTTGACTAACGTAGCAAAAAGGTCTTCCCGTCAGTATCATCAGTTAGATGACCAATTTATGCTCACCAAAATCCTTGGATGTCAGGAAAATGTCAGGGAATCCTTGGATGTCAAACTTGCCCTTTTGGAAGACAACAATAATGCTTTCCCTCACAATTTCATAAAATACACCACCAATGTTTTAATAGGCACGTTATTCCCTTACCTACTTTATATCTACTAGTGATCGGGACATACTCGATGGGGTTGCACTCCGTTAAACATATGATATAATAAAAAAATGATAGATGAAGAAACAAATGAAGAATAGTTGAGAAATGTGCACGCGCGCAATAGTCAAATCAAGAAAGGAAAAAGTATGAAAGACCATTGTTCGATTTCACTGACGAAACGAAACCCTCCCGATGGACCACCGCTTTGAGTGAAAATTGGGGCTTTTAGATTCTTCTTCCAGTTCCTTCAGTCAATTCTTAGCTTTCTCTTTTCTGTTAGTTTGTTGCAGAACTTCAATGCTAACCATGTTGAAAATAAAGTTACGTCATGTCGATTCATGTATAGCTAGGCTTGGTGACCCGCGGGTTCCGCGGGATGTCCATTATTGAATATATTAGGGTAATGAAAAATTTATTTAATAGCATAGATTTATTGTATTTTGTATGATAATGGAGCTGGAATAGTGGATAGAGCATTGATATATTGGATTCATTTATTTATAAATAAATATAGTAAAATTTATTTGATTTGTATTGTGTTTTTTAAAATTAATATGATCTAGGGATTTAATGGATAATATTGAAAAAATTTTGTTTTTGTATTTTAATTGTGGGGTGAGTAAATATTATTTAAATTAATGGAATATATATTAAATTTTTAAAGTTTATAGCATGGAAAATTAGGTGAAGAATTACATTGACAGTGTTATAATTTATTTTGTTTTGGGCATTGGCAGTTTATGTATTTTAGACGATGATTTTTTTATAATTTGGATAGCTAGGATGAGAAAGTGTGTATTGTTGTAGTGGAAAAGTCTATGGAAATTATATAAAAGAATTGAAAATTTGCTGAGAAATAAATGCATAATAGATATTTTTTGGCAAATTTTGATATAGTTTGGGTGTTGTATGATGACATAAATTAATAATTTGGAAATAATTTGATATTGCACGTTGGTAAAATATGTGTTTATTAATTAAGTAGGTTTTTTTGGATAAGTAAAGATAATGTTTATTTAGTTATGAATGAATGTGATCGAAATAGATAGAAGTTGTATTTTTTTAATTAATAGAATCTGAATAAATAAAGGATAATATTAATTTTGAGAGCTGAGAGATTTGATATATTAATAGTTTATTGATAAATGGATATTATTGAAAGTAAGTTGATGTGTATAAATTTTTGTACAAGAAATAAAAATTATTGGACATGAAAATTATAGAGTTTAATCAGTGCAATTTGTGGTAGAATTTTTTAATATTTATTGTTTGATGTTTATATGAGTTATTTTATGTTACTTAAAGTTAGAGTGAATTTTGTATTAATATATAGTTATAGGTATATGATATATTTTGTAATATGTATGTATGTATGTATGTATGTATGTATGTATATGTGTGTGTGTGTGTGTGTGTGTTTAGTATTTTATTTTAGGTGATAGAATAGTTTAAATTTTTGTAGTGTTTATATTTTTTGTGGTTTTGTTTGTTAATTATATATTTATTTATTTGTTTATGTATGCGTACATATATATATGTAATGTAATATTTATTTAATAATTGATATTTAGAGTGTTTTGTATGATAATAGGGTCGGAATCATAGACAGGGATGTGGCAGATTAGATTAATATATTTATAAATAGATATAGTAATAGTGATGTGATTTGTATTTTAGTTTTTAAAATGAATAGGATGGAAACATTAGTTAAAATAATGAAATGTATATTATTTTTTTTAAATTTAAGATAAATTAATAATTTGGTATATTTTGGATGTGTTTATTTTTATATTGTTAGATATAACTGGGTGGAAAATATAGAGAATTTAAGGGACATATAGTTGGTATGCGTAATAAGGTACATGGGAGATGCTTAATTATGATTGTTGGAAAAAGTCTCTTCAGAAGAATTGGAAATCATAATTGTTTTTGTTGAGCAGGGTGAAGAGGATGACACTTCCTTCGTACAAGAAGTGTTTTTGTGGGAACTCTAGCCAACCTTCTGTTTTTTCTATTCATTCAACCTGAAAGATCCATCGAGTTTTAGCATAATAGCAGTTGATGATTCTTATGTCATTTACTTCCATAATATTTCGATAGCAGAAAAAATATTTACTTCCATAATAATTTATTGATCAATAAATATTACAGAAGTAACATTTATGAAATAGGGGGAAACGATCCTATAATTTTTGAAGCAATTATCTAATTAATCATCATTTTGTAGAGAATAAAAGTGATGTCCTAAAGAAATTTGGTAAAAGTAATATTTTTGGAGCACAGGGAAATTATCTTACATTTTTCAGAATAAATGTGTCATTAATCAGCAAAAAGCAAAAAGGGAAAATCTGTATTCACTAATAAATGAACATGTAATTAATTATTATTTTGTATTTTTTATATTTATTTTATGTCACTTGGTCTTAAAATGCGAAAGCTTTAGACTAATAATTCTATAACTTGCAGTTTTGTGTAATTTAAAATTAACAAATATTGTACACAGGGAAATTATCTTACATTTTTCAGAATAAATGTGTGATTAATCAACAAAAAGCAAAAAGGGAAAATTTGTATTCGCCAATAAATGAACATGTAATTAATTATTATTTTGTATTTGTTATATTTATTTTATGTCACTTAGTCTTAAAATGTGAAAGCTTTAGACTAATAATTCTATAACTTATAATTTTATGCAATTTAAAATTAACAAATATTGTAAAAATAGTATTTTTTATATCAAAAGCAGTACAATTGATTTATATTCAGTAGATCGACAAGGAATTGATTTTGTTATAGAAGCAAGGTTTTTAAAAAGTAGAGGGAAATTATGCTAGCGCAGAGTAACACAATTGATTTGCATTCATCAGATCGGCGTAGAATTTCCTTGAACGTACGCATGCTGCAGCAAATCAATATTTTTTGTTGGGATATTGGCGGCTGAAGACAGGAGATGCAGGAGCAGTGCAAGGTACAAATAACAAAAGGACAAAATTGAAGCCTAAATTACAAATAAACCAAGACAAAAGGGTAGAATCGGAATAGGTGACAAAAGCTAGAAGGAGGAAAGAAGCAACAGCAGGCAAAGCTGCTCTGTGCAACGTTTAGATGCAATGGTGAAAAGACAAAAAAGGACGAAATCAGCAACAGAATTGCATTGAAACCAAGACATTTGACTGTAGCAGCACCTTTGGCGCTTTATGTAGTTTAGGATAGGATAGGATATGTTTTCATAGTTATATTTTCTAAAATACTTAAACAATTAATCGATAAAATGATATACTCTCTTCGTCTTACTTTGATAGTCCTGTATTCCTTTTTCATCTGTCCCAAATTATAGTCCACTTTCCAATTGAAGAATGTAGTTGTATTTTAATTTT